AATTAATAAAATAATATAATAATTTTCTTATTTTAATTTATAAAATAAATAATATAAAGTAAATTAAATATCCTATAATAGTCTATTACACGACTATAACTTAACAAAACCCTAATAACTATATATTAGTTTTTACTATTAAAACCGCTAAAAGCGGCGGCAGTTCTTGCCTAATTTAGTAGGGAGAATAGCGCCTCCCGGATTCTGTATATATTTAGCAGCTAAGCCAGAGCATTTACACGCCTACATGAAGCCTACTCATCGATCGGCGAGAATGAAATCGCCTGATCGATTACATTAACATTTCACATGGTGTGCCCTAGCTGAAGCAGGCAGATCAATGTCGGTATTACGGCTACGAATCAAAAGTGATCGCCACAGCCTAAGTGCGTATACTTCCGGTTACTGCATTGTTCGCTCTGACTAATGTGGCAATATATCCACCTAATCAGGGTTGCTGGAATAGGAATATCCAGGAAATCAGTGATAATTGCTGCCAGACATTATAAGCTGAGCCGATCTAGCCGGTTTCTCGCCACGTGGCTGCCCGTATCTATGCAAATAAAGTTAAATATATTTATTAGGCGCCAAGAAGGCTCAATTTACACGAGGCTGCCTGGATCTTGATCATGAAATCGCTGCAGAATAAATATTTCACGAGGGGAGCTCGGACTGAGCTCGGCATTTTATGGCTTACTTGCAATAATAAAAGGCGGCCGCATCCCCTCTATCGTTTATACGCTCAATTACATAGGTGCTTCTTGAAAATAACTACCTATTATCACTCTGTTCTTAAAATACAACTCCCCTATAAGAGGTTACACACGACAATAAAACAAGTCTTATTCATCTCAACTACTCTGACGACGGTAGGCCTCGTCAGCGCCCAGACTCCAAACGCGGCATGTGCCCCGGGCGGCGCACATATTCAGACAGGTTCTGTGGCGTGCCACTGTAACGCCGATCAAAGCGTTACCTGCGATGCCTTCAACATCTGTGGTGTTGGCAACACCAAAGCAAACGTGGATCTCGTCAGCACCTTTACCGCCACGGTGCAGTGCCGCAACCATGACCAATTGTCGACGTCAAGTCGCAGCCCATTTCGGATACAGTGCCAGTACATAATCTCCGGACGAAGAACGGTTGCCTGAGTGTTCTGTCCGAGTCGACTAAAGCGCCGACAGCGTCAGATTTCACGAACCAGGCTACATGTCCGAACGGTAACTGCATGAAGGAACTCGAGGGAGGCACTGTCACGGATAGTTCTACATTCAGCTTGGTTTTTGCAGGCTTTACTTGTCCGTACCTCTCTTTTTCTCAAAATTGTCCTTAGGGCATTATGGCGGGGTGTTTATAGCTATAAGGCCTGGCCCTCGCTATTATTTCCAAAAATCCGAGACTGTTTATATAACGGTTTTTATAGGGTTTATAAAGTGGTCTAATAGGTATAAGATAATGAATCCAATAGAATCTATTCAAGGAATAGAATAAAAGTAATCGTAATACCGAGAATAGACGCACTGCTAGTAACAGGCTCAGCGTCAAGGTGACGAGGGTTAATAAAGGAGGGTTACTGTAAAGCACAGCCTACTCGGTACCGACGGCTTTGTATGTAATTATGTACTTGTAATAGCGGAGTAAATGCTCCGTCACCAACACTAGCGCATCTCAGGCAACCAGTTAAACCGGGCGTTTATTGCTTTAATGTTGAAAACTCAGCCGTGGCACGTTATCCCTTATCTATCGACATAGGCTGTTCGCTGAACCCGCTCTTTCTGCATGTGGACTCAAGGGCTTAACTTTTGAGGTTATAGTGCTCCTCGGCCAGCCAGGTATTTGATCTTGGAATCAGCTCACGCATGCATCCGAGCTAAACTAGTCCCTAAAAAAGTCTGACATACTATTTTTATTGTTCCTATAATTCGAGCAAGTGCCCAGGTACCGTGGAAGAGATACAGTTCTGGTTAATGTAGGCTTTATATTTATAAGCAAATCCCTCGTAAGAGCATAAGAGAGAGAAAAGTAGAAATTAATCAGGTTAATAAAATAAAAGGGAAGGCCAAGATAAGAAGTGAAAGAAGGAAGTTAGGTTTAATCATAGTCTTATAAATTTCTCTAAAATAGCGGGAGATATGTAGAAAGTAAGCAAAGTAGTCCGCGGGGGCGGCCTCTTACCCGCGCCGGCAAGCAGTTGAAAACGGCAGCCAATTTGCAACGACCGACTTTACGTTTACTATCACTTCTAGTAACCCTTTCGTGTAGCGGAAAGTAAGGCTAGTCCTTTGCATTGCTGCCCAACTACCCTTCAACTTGGATAGTTACTTTCAATAATAGACCTAGTCTTTTATTTAGCGTTCCTAGCTGACAATTAGAAAAGTAATGTCAACTTACCTTGGGGCATTCGATCTCTTCCGTTGGCCGCTCCATCGTCCCACTGCTGAACGTTTTGCATTTGGCTATAGCATCAATAAGCCCTTGTTGCACCTTTGCGTTGGAGATTTTACGGATCTCGTCAAGGAGTGGTTGGAATAAAGACACATTCTTAGTGAGTGTTTTCACTCTCAATGTGATGCAATCATCAGGATTATCGTAAGCCTCGCCTGTGCCCTCATAAGCCTTCTTATTGCAATACGCCACTGTGCCGAGACACGGCTCCTTCGTTGCCCGCCATGCGTTCCCTTTGAATGTCGGGTTGCCCTCGCAAAGGTTGGCCTGGTTCTCCTCCAAGGCCGGCTCTTTGAACGGAGGTGGTTGCCGCGAGTCCATGCAAGACTTGGGACTGTCAAAATGCTCCCTGTTACACGGAAATCGCTGGTTACACAAGGGCTACGGTCACGGGATTAGGGCAGAAGGCCCTCACCGACTTCTTGTATAAAGAGACGTCTTCGGTCCCTCAAGGCCTTGAGGAAAACCAAGGACCTTTGATACCAAAGACTGTTATTAGTTGAATTGAGCTATTGCTCCAAGCCCTCTATTGAGCCCTTGTCACACTCCCCCATGGCCTCGTACTTCTTCCAGCCGCAGTAGTCCCGGGTGCCTAGGCAGGCTTCCGAGTCTCTTGGGAACTCGGCGTTTTCGGCCAAGCATTTGGAGCCAAATGCATTGTAGAGGGGATCGATAAAAGGCTTCTTGCTCTGTTCAGTCTCAACGGGTCCCGCGAGAGAGACGGTGGCAAGAGCGGAAATGAGAGCCAAAGAGTACTTCATGGTTGACGTAAAACCTTGAAAGAGAAATAGTAAAGCAGAGATGACGGGTGTGGGTAAATGGCAGTTCGAGTAAGTATAAGTTGATGCTTGGAGTTGAACTTTACATGTCGAGGCAAGACTTGCTATTTATCTTGTCAGAAATAGTATGTTTAGATTAACGTTGCCGAAAGATGCAACGGCTAGTACAAGGGCAACGTGGCACTGCATCTCCAACTGACTAGTATGTACAATGCGACAAGAATATTATGGTCTGATAGTAGATTTGATTGCAATGCGACAGTAGCTACACTGCTATATTGCAAAATCTATAGGGATCCACAAAGTTCGGAAAATTACCATTGATGCCTTTTTTATCTATAATGGTAAGTTAATACGGCTAGTACCGTGTCATCTTGTGCGACATTCCGCCTATTATGGGGCATGATGCGAATAATTCACAACATTGAATGGTCTCGACGCTACACTTCTGCGTTGGGTTTCAAGTCAGTAGACAAGGTCCATATAAAAACACACATATAAGTCGATATCAAGTCAATACAATTCATTCCATGTCGACACTGCCACATGTGGAAATAGTGGAAATCATGGGTTAATAATATTTCAGGGGTCAGTCTCCTACCGAGGGTTAAATCTACAGCACAAAATCCAAAAATAAACCAATAATATCATGTGTTCATACCACTACACTATATGAGAACGAGTCAGTCTTTGAGGTACAATCTACATATACAGTAGATCCTGGGAAGTCGATTCAGACGAACGAGGTACTGCAGTATGGAATACATACGAGTGTATAGATTACTTACAGCAATTTCTCTTTTTCTAGGCGCCGCATTGATGCCGCATCTATGCCGTTGACTGTAATGTGGTCTCATTTCATGGTCATTGCTCAGGTCTTCTATTCGGCCAAATCCGTCCCTCAGTATCTGTTTTTTTTTATATATAGCTCTGTAGGTAGCACCTAGATCCAAGGTCAGCAACTTTGTCCCGAGGAAACCAAAAAGAACGAACCTCACTCTTTCAACCTACGTTACCTACGATTCCCATTACATTACTGTCAATTCATTCTAACGCAACTACCATGCTCGCCCTGTCCTTGTTGCTAACTGCCGTGGGGGTCAATGCCATCCTCGGCGGTGAGGTTGCAGGCGTCTCGATCTCGGACAAGGAATTCTTTTGTGCCGACGAATGTGCCTACAAAGGCGTCTTCTTTGAGCAAGGGGGAAAGTGGTGCACGAGGAACGACACTACTGCCATAGTGAACTCCGAGGGCCTCGCTCACCCCCAGTATCCTCACGCCTGTGCAGGATCGCGAGTACCAGAGGGCTGGCAAGAGCGCGCCCTCAAGAATGGGGAAGAACCAAAACAGTGCTATGTCTACGAGCCAACTGAACCCTTCGATTACTTCTGCATTGCCGACAAGAACCCAGGAGGCAACGCAAAGAACGTACAATGGTCAGAAATCGAAAAGAAGCTGGCATCGGCCAGTTCAACAAATTCGGCAAGCCAAGAGGGCGAACAAGGCGCTTCTGAGAAGAGCAAGCCGGCTTCTCCGGAAAAGTTGAAGCAGTGTAACGATCTACGCGAAAACAACTTCTGGGAGTGCTGGAATAACTTCAAGGACGACTTTCAGAAGTGTGTCGACGACGCCCAAAAAGTATGGGAAGACTGCCGGCGTGGGAACTAACGCCGTAGCGGACGGGGACATACCAGGAAAAGCTGGGTATGTGGTTGATACTTGTTCACAAGGCTCGAGTATTTGAGATGGGCAGGCTCAACTACCACCAGACTCCTGCCAAGGTCTGTCAACAACAAGAGGCCAGCTATCAACTAGCTGGGCATAACCAACCAAGCCAGCTTCCAACAAGCTAGGCCAGCTGCCCATATTAAATTCGGCAGCTTGATTGTGTTTAAAATTACAGCTATGTGTTAGAAATACGGTGGCAGTATTATGGGGATGTAAAATTGATATGTTTTTGACTGTCCTGTTCTTTGTCTAGTATAGAAAGTTTAGGTTTTTTTTAGAGTATTGCTTTTTGCACAAATATAAATCTCTACTTGCACAGACATGTCTTAAAGTCCCTTGCCAGGCCGTGCTACTTCGGCGACCGCAGCTACTACCGCCAACAACCCTACATGTAGAGAAGATAACTACAATGGGGCTACAATCCCACAACAGATGCCCCTGAAGAGGTCGTTGGAAGCCATGATGTAAAGATTTGCTATGCATTTCGGAAATGACTGTTTTTCCATGGCTATACTTGCGCGTGCGGCCACGAATGGAACGACCATATGCGCATTTCTTATGAGATAGTCCATGGGACGAGGCCGAACAATGAGGAGATCCAGGGCGAAATCAAGAATAACGAACAAGCCAAAATCGCATACATAGACAAGATGGAAGGCCTAAACATACAAGCGTTTTAAACTACGCGGTCATGTTACAAATAAACGTAGTCTGTCTTTTCGGTTGCACTGCACGGAGAAACAAGGTAACTGGATGTCGATGCATGTCGATAGTTAACCTAAGAAGGGGACGCAAAGCCAGTCTATCAGTTTCTGTAGTAATTAGAGTTTGGATTTGGGACAGCACGAAATTCACCGACGAAAAGTATCAGCCACCAAATACACGACAATATATGTCTCCGCCGACCTTAACTCGTAAGATTGTCATCATTAATACCAATATAGAATACTCACGAGTCGCCCAAAATCCTGGATATCCGACAGCGTCTCAGAACCGCAACAACACACCAACTAGTCCAGCTCTTTTCCATGGCTGACATTCGAACAGGTTCAAGAAGGGTTTGAGAGTTCTCGTTTAAGATGGAACCCAATGCACAGCAAACAATACAGTGCCTCAGAACCAACCGCCATCTGCCTGCCGTAATGAAATCACTCAATAGCAGTTGAAGGCAATTTCCCCAAAAAGTTTGGTAGTTCGCACCTAATGTTACCCTTTGGAGCCTGGTGGCTCAAATTGACAAGCTATTCAATAGTTCGATTACTTCTTGCGGTGTTGTATCTTTCTTTGCACACTGGCTGCACAGTTCCCGCTAGTTCCTCTAGTTTAAACTGAATGTCAATCTCGTGAAGAAGCGCCAAGCGCGTTTCTGGATTATTGTGCTATGTTTGTTACAAGGCATTAGTGTTGCACTTGGCTCACTTTGTCTGAAGGCCAACTTACGAACTGGAATGTGCAATACAGTTCACTAGGCGTTATCCTCCTCGCATAGCTTCCATCTTCCTGTCGCCATTTTGCGGCCATCATGCAATGATATTGCCACGGCCTCACTTCAGTATTATCATTGTTCCATCGCAACAGTTGGTGACCACTGAGCGCCATAAGTGCCGCTTTGAAGGAGGCGTCCAGCTGGTTTTTCATGCTATTAACCCTTGTTGTGGTCTTATTTATAATATAATCGGGCCTGAGATATGAGCTAGGATGGAACGCTCGAAATAAAATAGCTGTTCGGTTCGCAAGTCGTACGATGTCAGGTCGAGGCGACCAAGCTTGGTCTGACAGACTTTTACAAAGAAGACAATTCGCATCTTTCGTCACTCGCTGCAGACTCAGTATAACGTCGGGTTTTTTGTGGCGAAGGATGTCTTCGAATACTTCATACGCCCGTACTTCCCACGTCGGCCATCTGATTCCGATTGCTGTTCCCATTGCTTTGCTGATTAGCGGTCTCACGTCGAGGATTGTACAGCGGCAATACCGCGGTTTGTGCCGTATTTTCGTATAAGGCGATCTACCTCCTGCAGCGACGGGCTGCGAGCTACCATAGTTTCGTAGTCCACGGTGGCGTGGTTGTTACATGGCTCAATCATCACAATCAGGATGTTGAGGGTACCCTCAGCTAGCTTCAATGAGTTAGCCAGAGCCTGCAGGGTTACTTCTTCTGCGCTACACAATTCAATCTCGGCTGCCCATCGTTCAAGGGACACTCCGACATATTTTCTTAGACGCGGAATCATAAAAAGAAATCGAGAGAGCGTTGAGGGTGCGGGTAATCTCTTTAGCTGCGATTTGGCTTGCAGAGAACTCCAGCAGCTCGTCAACAGAGGAAGTTGTTTGTAGCTAGAGACTTGTCATACGAGACTCCAGCTAAGGGGGTGTGTCGGATAATGGTCCCTCAGTGGTTGGACCACGCAACCGTTTTGCTGCCTGAGTGGCAACAGCAGTATTTCGAAAGTATTATCTTGAGTTTCCGCTGTGTAGGGGAAAGGAGAGAGACATGAATACAAGAATTACAACCGCTCAACGCGACACTTACTGACTCCAAAGCCGACCCTGAGTTGCCACTTTACCAGACCTATTATTAACTAAGCGTATTTATAAACTTATTATTCTTCTTGGTTCCCATCCTTTAGAAGGGTTCATATTATTTGTCTCTAGTCTTGGAGGGTTCCCCAGCTACCTTGCCAAATCAGGGTGGCTGTCCAGCCTTTCAAACTAGAGATATCAATGATTTATGACATGCAGCAATTATGTCAAGGCCGCTTGTTCTACCAACAGAAGCAGCTTTATTCCACAGGAGTCGAAGATGGGAGGGATCACAGCAGATTTGGCCAGAAATGCACCAGGGACGCGCCATGTAGATACACCAACATCATCAACCAAGTCAGCTACCGGCACAGATACAACAGATGTCAAGTCAGATAATGTGCAGCAAGAAATTGAACAGGTAGTGCGCTACACTAATGAGTCCTATGCTGAGATTCCGGTAATGAACCCAGGCCCTGTGACGGTGAACAAGGTCGAGTGTGACTTGGATAAAGCGATTGTTCGCATTCGGAAGCTCCGACTCGACGTATCTAAGTTCTAAAATGGGGCCGTTCCCTTACAGGCCCAACGATGACCTATGGTCTGGAGTTGATATTTAGATTGTTAATTCGGATCCTTCGATCCAGCTACACACATGTGCTGCTTACTTATTGGAACCTTTGATAGTCCAGGTCCAGAATTGCACCCCTCTAGCCTTCCTTGTTTTCTGATGTAAATTGGTACACCTGAAACAGAACATGGCCAGCCTAATGTATTTGAGGTTAGTAGCACTCATCATCCGGGACATAAAGGAAACATACAAGGCAAGCAGGAGACAAGCAAACACACCAAGCTGCAAACCCTGCAGCGAAGTCTTCTCCCAGTCGAGGGAAGGGCGCCAATCGACCTCACTAGATGTGTGGTTGGCCTGGGTTGAACTCTTGCTACAACAGCTCGGAATCATGTCGCCGGCAGACCCAAGGGCCCCGAAGCTGAGTTTATAAGCCCAGCACTGCACAGCGCCACAGTCGGCGTCGTAATCCTCCTCCTCACTTGTGGTTAGTACCCCTATCAGAATGTCGTCACCTGGAAGCTTGATAAGGCGCACGTGCACTGTAGGAACGTCTTGAACCACAATGGAGTCAACCTGGCGGATCTTGTAGTCTACATCGATCAATTCGATTCCTTCGATTTCGTCTTTTTCCTTGGTTGTCGTGCTGAGTTCGTAGCTGATTGCTTCCTCATGTATTGCCTTTGCATTGCCACCGACATCATGCACATTGGCAGTCATCGGCGTCTCCTCACCATCGCCGTGGGAGGGAAAGAGTTCAAACCCATTGACAAGCAGTTTTCTATTTTCGTCGACCGTGAATTCGAGCCTAATGTGGCCGTCCCCCGTTGGGCAGTGTTTACAGCGGATGTTGAGACATTGACCTTGATCGGTTGGAAGCAGCGAGCTGTCGTCTTGTACTGACATGGTTCTGGAGACCGCGCTCCAGTCTCGTGGTTCTGGGAGGGGAATAGCCTGCACTGAACAGTGTTATAAGAATGCTATGTTATGCTAGACTAGGCACGCGTAAGGGAGCAATAGCTTTGCCATCTAGTAAGTAGGTCTTGAACATAAAGCTCCAACGTGCATATCGCATAGTCCTGCCACGTGTCACGACTGCCGAACTGTTTTCACCTGATTCATGCTTACTTGGCGATACTCTGTGTTATCCACCCGGCGTGGAGATATTCCTCACCCTGACCCTTGCTATGAGCTGATTAGAGTGGAGTGTGACAGCCTTTCAACACGCGTTTGCAGCTTTCATTGGCTTATAGATGTGCCTGGATTGGGGATTCTGGGCGTCAAGTTCCTGGGGCAATCCTTGCTTCAAAGTGATGGTAGTTCGGCCATGAATACGGATTCTCCGTTCAGCAAGCCGTGTTACTCTCGGCCGATGGGTTTGGGGGCTAATATCAATCCGGCATGCTTGCCTACTGATGCCAGTCTGATTAGTTGTCGCAATTTGAATGTCGCATATGTCGGAGTCATCGTGAGAGCCCAAAACCCAACCTGCAGGATCAAACAAGTTTTCCCCTATCCTCAGACAGAGAAATGGCTGCTTGAGTTCTTGCTCATCGATTTCCCCACCCTTCCAAGAGGTTCCAGCAGCGTTCGTGGATGGATTAAACTGAAACCTAGCATTATCTGACCAAGAGAGGATGTCATCTGCACGAACAAAGTTGCCAAGAATCAGCACAACCTTTGCATTGTCCACAACGTCGATATAGGCCACTTTGAAGTAGCTAGAATAGGGCTAAAATGAGGCAATGAATTCCGAATTGCCAACGTCTTGGGCAAGGCGACACGTTCAGCGAGGGTGGTGAGCGTGAATTTATAGCTGACACCTACAGGTTGGCGCTGTCCAAATATAGGACTCTACATCTCCTCCGTTAATTCGTCGATTTAGCGCCTGTGACCCTGGCTGTCTGGCACACACGTGATCGAGATCTTGTTTCGGTAGCGCTGCTGTTGAGTCGCAACGCTTGCTTTGGGTGCGGAGGCGGCGACGTTTCTTCTTCTTCTATTGCCCGAAGGCGTCGTCGTACTCGCTCCCGACGTTGCGGCTGCATATCCTTCCTCCTTGCACGAGGCCGCTCGTGCATTTCGTGTTCTCGAAGGGCAACTTGCTGCTGAGAACGTCTTTTTCCTTCTCCCAATACTTTTGGCTCTCTATCGAGTGTCGAATGAGCCTTGTATCGTCTGTAGACAACCCGTTAAGCCGGAGAAGATCTTCGTACATTGAGGCAGCTGTTCGCCATCGTTGAGCTGTGGCCATGTCGTCTGTGTCGCGAAGGAGGAACTGATTGAGTACGTTCGCGTATTGCTGGCATTCAATCTTCCAGTAGTCAGGTTGCCAGATGGCATTCCGCATTTTATCAATATCGGACGATTCGAAATGTTCATGTAGGATGTTACATTGCTACCTATGATCCTCCTCGACAGATTCGTGGTCCGACGAGGAAGGCTCTGGAGTGGCCTCTTGTTGTACCTTATCGCGAGGTCCAGCCTTTGACAGAGGTCTTCATGCCCCTCAGTAGACGCAAAAAATTTGTCAAAGCCACGCTTTTCATCGGGAGATGGGGTCTTCATTACCGCTCAAAGAGATGAGAAGCTGCCGCGAATGGATGAACTCGGTTGGAGGTCAGGGAGCCCGGAGACTGGATTTGCGGGCAAGTCGGCCTCCCATCACATCAATGCATTATCACGTGAATGACAATATTCACGATGGCTCATGAGTTTGATCAGGCAACTATGGATTGGTTGAAACTTTGCCATCTCCGCATGGGTCATACCAGTTTCGAGGCAATTGCCACCATGGGCTCTGGGCAAGCAACAGGGATGAATCAACCTGCCCTCGCGATATAAACTCGGTCCCTAGACTCCCTACCTCGAGCGCCATCACTGCGCCGCTTGTTTACAGGTTTATGGATTGGCATCAGGACCACATCCAGATCAGCAGTAGAAGACGAGGAGGGGTGGGCAAAATGACGGGGAAGTACTCGTGCCGGGACCGTTACAGTGAGTGTGCATAGAGCTGGACGTATACAGCTCTGACTTTCGTTTGAGCTAAGAAACTTGATTTTATTGCATAAGTGACGTGTGCGTTGATCCGATTATTCATATGAGGAATCCTTATATTCGGGCCTACGGCAAACGGCCTTCGTGGGAAACGGCGTTTGAGCCGAGACGTGCATCTTGTCACCACAATGTTGGATCTTATAAGGGCATTACCCAATGATCTCAATTTGATTTTGCCCAGCACTTTACGGTCGAGGCATAGGGTACAGTCGAAGGTCACAAACTGTGACTAGGGCTCAATAGAGGGTTTGGAGTCAATATCTAAACTATCGGGTGGGCAAATACTCATTGCCCGATGTCCCACTGTGAACCAAGACGATACCCCGAGGGGTATCTACGCTGCGCAATGTGAAACACAAAGTATCCCACAGTCCAAGCGGGCAGGATCAGTGAGACAATCCCCAGACCGGTCTGGCACTCCCATGTCTCTACTATCATTACCGAGACCACAACAGCCATAGGGCCTTCCTTGCCTGGAGAAAAGTCAAGACATGCAGACAACGAAGATAAGCACAAAAAATATCTTTACTGGATGGTGCTAGAGCAACTCCTTTCTTCATCATCACACGGCAACGTGTCAAGGAAATTCGCGTCGCATCAACCAAATGTATACGGAATACTACCACGGACAGTGGCACGGAGCAATAATGGATTATTGGGAACTTCAAGGCGACATGAAGGATTTCAACCACATGAGTGCCATAAAAAATACTAACATTGACAGACATATGCAAGGGGGAAAACTCGAGCGACTTTGGCTGGCTGAACAGTGGCGGTAAGCCTTCTGCCTGCGACATGCGTCTCTGAATGTCAGCTCGGTATAGGCAACCTGGCTGCATCAGCGGCCTAGAACAGAGCTTGATAGCACACCACACATATTTCGGTGTTGCGGATTTGATCCACCATCTTGTACAGCAGTTGTAGCCTGATGACAAACCATTGCCTGGCATCCGCATATATATAATGGATAGCTGTCGCCTTCACAACGACGTTCGCACTTCCAGCATCCATTAATGATTTTCCCAAGATATATTATGACTATTATACCAGCAGACCCTAAACCTATGAGGCGAGACGCCAGTGGCGAGGTCAAGCGAGACCTTATTTGGAACCCCCCTACCGGCCATGATGGCGGTAACGAATTCAAGGCAATACATCCCGAAAACCACGTCTACATTTCGTCAATGCAAGTATGGACGCATAAAACTGGTCTTGGTGATGAAGTAGTCAAAGCCATCGAGCTCATCTGGAGCACTGGTCAAAGCCGACGATATGGTCATCCCAAAGGGGATAGCCACATTACAACATTTCAGAGATCTGAACGTATCACAAAGATGCGTATTTGTTCAGGAGACTGGGTAGACTCCATTTATTACGAATCCAAAACAGCTCCCACCTGGAGGGTTGGAGGATCTGGAGGGATACCTCACGACCAAGACACGGGGAATGGTGTATTTGTCGGATTTTGGGGGAGGTCGGGGGGTGACATTGATAAACTTGGAAGTGTTTTCGGGGCTCCCCGTGAACAAACTCGGGACATGCGATAAGTTTTGATGTGTTTGGCTAGTATTCTTACAGGAACTCTCGTGTAATGGGCTCTTAATGGATATGCAGTCAGTTGTTAGGGTTTTGTTGAGTTGTAATTGTGTAATAAACTACTATAGGATATTTAATTTACTTTA